CTTCCGATCTCCCCAAAACCCCAAAACCCCACTACTCCAATATAGCTAAAATTTAAAGATTAAAAAATTATATTAGTTTATTTTTAAATTGATTTTAATGAGCTTCTCATTTTAAATACTGCTTTCTCTCATCTAAGATATTCATAATGCGCATTCAACTCCTCCTCTGGCCAAACTCCAACTTGAATATCTCCTATATGTCTTTTTCTCAGTATACACTTAAGGACTCTATCAATACCTATTCCACCGCCAATTGAATATACAAATTTTTCTCCTGCAATAGACTTGTGATAGTCCAATTCTTTAATGTATTCCCAGGTTCCTTGAATAATTGATTGCTATTCTAAAGATTCCGAGCTAACCCGTATACCCATTGATGAGATTTCTAAAACTGTATCTAAAGTTGAATCCCAAACTAGAATATCTCCATTGAGACCTCGGTACCCTATACTGTTGCTCTGAGTCCACCAGTCATCGTAATCTGAATTTCTCTTGCTGTGAGGCTAACCGCTCTAAGGTAGAGGGTGGCCAATACCTATGAGGAATACGGCACCTAACTCCTTCGTGATCGCGACCTCTCTGTCTTTTGGTGTAATGCCTGGAAATTATTCCTCAAGCTCTTAAGAGTGTATAAAACTAATATTTTCTGGGAGTTGTCTATCAATTTAATTAGGGTAACGTTTTGCAAGGTTTTCTTCTACTTGTTTAAGACTAAAAAAGATCAGTTTCACTATTTTTTGTTGTTGAGATATTCTAAATTTCAATCTTCCTATAAAATTGATTGTTCCCACTCGAATTGTACGACATACAAAGAGTGAGTGGGAGTAACCTCGGGCTCAATAACTCTCATAAAATGACCTTCTGCATAGATTCCACTATATGGTTCAAACTCATGAAGAGATAAAATTTATCTCCTCCTTTTGGCTAACGAGTGAAAAATTTCCAGATGAACTCCAGGCAACTAAAAATATTAGAAATTTATCTAAGCCATCTTATTATTTTCAGATAAGCGTATATCTTAGAAACCAGTACCTGCGGGAATAAAAAGTGGTGCTTAAACTCTGATTAAGTTAAGCTTTGTTGATAAAGAGTCGAATAGCATTTGTCTTGTATAATTTATGTCTCTCATCAATTCCTTTTAATCAAAAGAGGAGTTTTCTTATTTTTGTATATTTGAAGTAATCATTCAATTTAAGGATAAACTTTAATTATAATAATTAGAGTTTAATCCTTGCATATTTTATTAAAGAATCAGTTTCATTTATATTATACTTTAATTTATTGTTTGGGGTTTTGGGGTTTTGGGGTTTTGGGG